TTTGTAACATATTTTGCTAGAAGATGGACCTTTTTGAATTAGGTTAAAAAAAATTTTTTTTTCACAGAGCTTCGGAAATGCCAGAGCATTTAAAATTCGATGATCTAGTCTTCCAGGCTGTCCTTTGAACCATTTTACACGCTTCTCAGTTGGCCACGAATCCCTCTGCCTCAGCCTTTCCTTTGCCCTGTTCTGTTGTGTGGAAGTGATGGGCGAGAGAAAGGGTCCCAGCAGGTCCGCCTGGTTTGCTCAGCTGGGCTTCCTCCACACAGTGCTGGGTGCTGTCCTCCTGTCTTCTCTGTGGGAGGTGTGGACCCCCAGGTGTGCTGAGGACCCTGACGTTCTTTGCTGGTATCACAGTGGTTATTTAGTTTTTGTATGTAGGGCTCATTGGAGAAGATTACTAACAGTGAATTAAATGGCACTCTGAGCTGAACCACCCTGGTTTTGTGGGGTTGGGGGCTGTGAGTGGGGCTTAATAACCTTTCCCTGGGTCTCACCCTGATAATGTAGCCCAGCCCTGCTATCTCTCCCCAGAATAATGTGCCGGGCCTGGCTGGTTTCTCAGGCAAATTCCTTTAAACCATCCAACCCCCTGGTTAAACCCAGCATTTGACCTGCTCCATGCCTGTATAGACCCAGGAGGAAAACAGCCACGTATAAACTGCATATATGAATTTGCAGGAATATCTCTTTATTAAGGAGAATTACTCAGCTCCCTTTAGATGTCTTTTAAGTGAAAGAATTCTAGGTATTGAAGCTTGTGGATTTGCAAAGGAGGGGCAAACATAAACAAACCAACAAACCCAAACAAGCCTACCCAAAGCTACCTTCAGCATATAGGAGAGTTGAGGTCAGATTATGAATGGAAGTTTAAACTGAGCCTCAGTTAACTTCCTCTGTGGTTACAGTTCTTAATCCGGTGCTTTCCAAACAATGTTCTTGGAGAATTCTGAGCCTTCACTAAATTCTTTGTGGGACAAGGTTTCTGTGGTCAAATCTATTTAGCAAATTAATTTCGCATGTTTCTTTTTATCTTTTTGTGTTGCTACTAGAAAATGTAAAATCACATATGTGGCATTACAGACTGAATTGTGTCCCTCCCTCCCAAATTCATATGTTGAAGCCCTAATCTCCGGTATGATGGTCTTTAGAGATGGGGCCTTTGAAAGATAATTAGGTTTAGATGAGGGCAGGAGGTTGGGGCCCTGATGATGGGATTAGTGCCCTTACAAGAAGAGACCAGAGAACTTGCTCACTCTCTGTCTCTGTCTCCCTCTGTCATCTGAGGACAGTGAGGAGACAGCTATCCACAAGCCAAAAAGAGGGTTCTCATCAGAACCCAACCATGCTCACATCCTAATCTCAGACTTCTAGCCTCCAGAACTGTGAGAAAATAAATTTCTGTTGTTCGAGCCATCCACTCCATGGTATTTTGTTATTGCAACCCCAGCTGATGAACACATGTGGCTTCTATTTCTGTTGGACAGCACTGGATGTCTGGTAGCTCCTAGCCAGGGATCTGTTGCCACTTGTAACTTTCTACCTTTGTTCATGAGTGCAGGGATGGACCCCCGAACATTCCTTGGGGGTGCTCAGCCCCTTGTTTTACCTGTAGTACCTGCTCAGTTAACATCTGGTGATTGAGTCATTTTGTTAGTTGCAAGCAATGCTGAGGAGGAACTCATTAACATGATATTGACTAGGGGCGCGTGGGTGGCTCAGTTGGTTAAGCAACTGCCTTGGCTCAGGTCATGAATCCTGGAGTCCCCAGATCGAGTCCCAAATTGGGCTCCCTGTTCAGCAGGGAATCTGCTTCTCCCTCTGACCCTCCCCCCTCTCATGTGCACTCTCTCTCCCTCATTCTCGCTCTCTCAAATGAATAAATAAATAAATAAATAAATAAATAAAATCTTTAAAATGATATTGACTAATAACCCCGAATCTCTGCAGGGCACAGGAACCAGGCTTGGGAGAGCATTCAGGCAGATGGCAGTGGCCAAATCCCACTGCAGACTGGTCTAACTGGTGATCCCTCTGCTGCCCCAGAGAACCAGAGCTGGCTGTGTCTGCTGCTGCTCCATTGGTAGAGCGGAGTGGCCATGGGCTTCTGGCGTCACTAGCTTCCAGGTTAGAGTTTGATTGGCTGAATTTAAACTCTACCTGCAAGGGAGGCTGGAAAGGTCTCATAAAAGGAGAATTCATTCCTTCAACATAGAAAGGTGCCTTCACATGTTGGCAGGCAAAACGAATGACCAGAATCCTTTACTAGAGTAGCCTGAGACCTTGAAATTTTGACAGCAACTCAAACAGAACTTTCTCTTTTCTTTGTTTTTTAAGATTTTCTTTATTTATTTAAGAGAGAGAGAGCAAGTGAGAGAGAGCACAAGTGGGGTGAGGAGCAGAGGGAGAAGCAGACTCCCTGCTGAGCAGGGAACCGGAGAGGCTCCAGAGATCCCCAGGGACTCCAGGATCATGACCTGAACGGAAGGCAGATGCTTACCCGACTGAGCCACCCAGGGACCCCTAAACAGAATTTTCTGCTGAAACTCCCCAGACAGAGATTTCCTCCACACAGGAGGCTCCCCGGATCTCCTGTGGTTCTTCTGGAAAGTATGAAGTATAACAAACAGTTGATGTTACACATTACTCTTATGCTGTGACTGTTATTTCATTATGACCTTTGACAGTTCTTACATTATATTTTAATATAGAGACACAGGAGGGCACTCTAACCAACCAGCAGTAAAACTTAATGGTTTCATAGCCTTGGCAGTTAAAAAAATGGATATTGATTTTGTTGAATCTGTTTTTTTCCCCCCCAGGTAAGATAACCAACTTTGCAGGAATACCTAGTTCTCCTAGGGGATCTCACATGTGGCAAAGACCCCCAAGACACATCCTCCACACTGTCCAGTTACGGTTCTAGGGACTATGGCTTTGAGCAACTCAGGACAGAAAAAGGGATTTTTGCCGCTGAGGCATGAGAGATGGGGGACATGGTTCCCAAGAGCTCCTATTTAGAAGCCAACTGGCCAAATTAAACTGGCTTCTAGAGCAGCGGAGAGAGACCTGGCTGTCAAAACGACCTTCAAACCTGTAGCCTGTCCCCATGACTCAGTTTTCCTATCTACAAAACGCAGATAATACCTGACTTATGTCTGTATCGTTTACCAATGGAGGAGAGCTGGAGCAGAAGGAAAGGAACGTATCTGGGGTGCCATTTACCATCCCATAAAGTGCACGGGGTTTAATATTAAAAAATAAAGCTAGCCTGCTTCTTGTTAATTTATTACAGCACATGGGAGGGACAAAGGGAGCTCCGTTGGCAGCCAGAGTAACAAAAGTAACCAGGATAGGCAGGAACAGAACCTGCTCTTCAGGACTGGTTTCCCCACACTGATCTCCCCGGCTGGGGCCCTGACACCAGGAAGAAAGGGGCGCGAGGCTGCCCGGGCATTTTCCTCCCCAGGCAAGAGTGGCACAGGTTCCCTGCGACGGTGGGGTTACTCGAGGTCAAAGATGCAATCTTGCAGAGCCAACCCTGGCTGGCTGGAACGCGAAGGGACGGCGGAGCGCAGCCCTGTCGTGGCGCCTTCTGTCCTTCCTACCGGCTCTGCGTCCGTCCCCAAGGGCTGTTGGGGCGCAGCCGCCTCCCAGTTGTCCCTGCCGCCGCCCAGAAGTTGCCGCAGGTTCAGCTCTGGCTCCCAGGCGTCAGCCGCAGACTCACAGTCAAGGTCTCGGTCACTCTAAGTTCAGTCCCAGGGTCCCTCCGGGGAGCCGGGAGCTGGAGCCAGCACCGGAGGGAGGAGGGGGGACGCGGATCAATAAAGGGAAGGACAAGGGGCGCCTGGGTGGCTCAGTTCGTTGAGCGTCTGCCTTCCGCTCGGGTCATGATCCCGGAGTCTCGGGATCGAGTCCCGCATCAGGCTCCCTGCTCGGTGGGGAGTCTGCTTCTCCCTCTGACCCTACCCCCTCTTGTGCTCTCTCTTTCACTCTCTCTCTCTCAAATAAATAAAATAAAATCTTTAAAAAAAATAAATAAAGGGAAGGACAGGAGGGAAAAAATGACCAAGGAAAGGAAGAAGCTGCTGCTTAATTCCAATTAACAGGGAGCTGGGCGCGTGGGGCCGAGACTTGGCGCTGGTCACGCGTCTGAGACCTCTGAGTTTGGCTCACTGTTCCTTTGGGGAGTGTCTCCTGGTATCCCTCTAGCACTCCACCCCCAAGGCAAGAGAGATCCTAACACTTGGCAGGCCCCGCGCTAAGGGCTGTACCACACTATCTCTCTTAATTTCCCCAACATCCCTAAGCTGCGAGAACTGTTACCACCCGAGTACTGCGGAGGACGGAACGACCTTAGAGAAGCTGGGTGGATTTCCCAAAGTTTTGCTGCTAGTGGCGGAACAGTGACGCGGAAAGGGTCTGTGCGATCCTGAAAAGCCCAGGCAGGCCAGAGCCCACAGCCCACAGCCCCTCAGCTCTGCCCGATTATTGTCAGATCACTCTGTACGCACCTGTCGCACGCAGGCCTCGCTGGGGGTAAGGGGGCTCGAAAAGAGAAGGACCCAAAGGGTGACCTGGTGACTCTCCTCCATCCTGACTCTTGGCTGTGCGGAAAGCTCATTTCGGGCGCAGGGGTGGCTTTGCACTTGGGAAAGGATAACCTGCCTTCTCCGGGGATCGCATTTCGGGGCGGCGTCCCCCCTGGGGCGGCGGGGGCGAGCGGAGAACCTGGGGTCCGAGAGCCGGCACAAGGAGGAAGTGCGGTGGCGGGAGCTCGGCTGCCAGCCAAGCGGGCGGGGTTGGAAGCGAGGCCGCGCGTGCGGAGCGTCCACGCGGTGGGTGTGCTGCGCTTCATTCAAACTTTGGGGAGTCTCGGTTCGGGCGTCAGCGAAGGTGTGACCAATCAGAGTCCGGGGACGGGAATAAATTATGCAAATCACCATCTGGCGATGGGTCAGATGACTCCCATACTTTAAAAAACTACCTCGCCGGGAGTTCGAGGAGTGACAGCGGCAAGTCCTGGCTTCCCGGGCGGGCGGCACGGGTGAGAGCAGATCCAGTTCAAGCCCCTTCATACTCCCCGCCACTCCCCGCGGCTCAGATTAGCCAAACTTTCACTCCCACCTTCACCTTCAGCTGGCTAAGGCCACCGCTCTCTGGCCAAGAGAGGGCTGCCCACTGCGGGTCTTACCCGCGCGGACTGCCAGAAACCCCGAGAGGTGTTCTCTTTTTCAGTCCCGTTTCGGGGAAGGGGGTGTGGCGGGGAAGGATGCGAAACTCCGTTCCTCTGTTCTGCCTCTGGAGCGTCTATTGTTGCTTTGCCGCGGGAAGCTCCACACCCCCTGGTCCGGAGGGATGGCTGCGAGGTAACGTGCACTTATTCTTATTCCCCTCCGCCCCATCCACCCACTCCCAACTTTCCTGTGCCACGTCCCCTCTCTGTCTTGCCGACCCCTTTCCAGCCCCTCCTGGTGCCTGCGAAACCCTCTTGCCTTTCCCACTGCCCAGTCGCTCCTCTAATCAGCTTTGCGGTTCACTTGTTCCTTGGCGCTTCTGACGAGGACATCCCCAGAAAGGCATCCGAGAGGCCGCCGGCGGGCGGGGGCGCTGGCCCGCGCTCACCCTCTCGCCCCACCCCCTTCCATGATAAGGTTCCCTGGATGGGTGCCGTCCAACCAGCAGAGTGGGCTGACGACGGCTCTTCAACATTGCCCTTTGCGAAGCAAGAGGGTTGTTAGAGCTAAGTCGCCTGGTGCCCCTCCTTCTAAACTGGGTGTAGGTGTTTGGAAAGTTAGGGGGGCAGGGTAGCTGGCTGTGGTTTGATTAGCGCTTGCAGGGAGCATTTGGTGAGTAACGTGGGGGAAGGCTGCGGGGCTTATTCCCCCAGGTGGCGGGCCTCCTCCTCCCCTACACCCTTTCCAATCACCACTCTTCCTACCTACCTCTCTTCACCTTCCTCCTCCTAGATGCTGGACTTTCTTCCTTCTGAGTTCTGTATGGCAGTCTCTTCCATTAGAGGAAGCCTGCCCTGGTGGAATGAGGGTAGGATCACCCATCGGGGGTGCCAAGTCAATTAGTTATGCAGGGGAGAGGGGAGATCCCCTAAACTCCACCCCATTATCTCATTTTCTACTCTTCTGCTGAGGTTGAGCCATCATGGGCATGATGTTGGCCCATGTCAGTTTATGTACACGAGGGCAGGTTAATTTGAATGAATGGGAAAGCTTTGCTTTACTCACATCTCTAGCTCCTCTCTTGTAAAGCGCTAAGGTTCCTTCCAACTTCTGTGTTCCGTGATTCTGAGTATTCGTGGGCTATTCTTTCAGTTGAGAAAGTAGTTATTGTGCCTGCTTAGTGCCTCTTCTGGGGGTGGGGGTTGGATACAGCAATGAACAAAACAGATGAAGACCCCTGCCTCATGGAGCTTACATTTCAGTAGTGGGAAGACGGACACCAAACTAATTAAAATATATAAGTGATGCTCAGTAGGAGAAAAGTAAAGCAGAGGAGGAACAGGGTGTTGGTGGAGAAGGTGGTCAGGCTTTTAATCTGTGGTCAGCCTTCCCTGTGAAGTTGACCACCGAGCAAGGAACTGAAGGACGTTAAGAGAATGAGCCGTGAGGGCACATGGGTGAAGACCAATCGTAAAGTCCCAGAGGCTGAACTGACCCAGGCTGAAAGTAGTAGGAATGAAGCTGGAGAACTCTGGGTCAGGCCAGATACTCAGGTGAACGTTTTATGTCAATATGTGGGTTTATCCACAAATCTGTCCCAGGAAGCCAGAAGACTTTTGTCCTTTTCTCCTACAATTCCCCATCTGGTCTCTGTGAATGGCTACCTGGGTGGGAATTGGAGAAGCAGACTATTTTTGTCCATGGTTCAAATTTCTGCCGTCTGGAGCTTTTGTTCATTACTTTAATGACAGTTAACCTGAGGTCTGCTCATGTATATTTAGTTGCATTTTCTGGAACCCTATCCTTTTACATCTGGTGTATTCTTTTCCTCCCCATCGCCACCTTCTCTACCATTTTGGTCTCTCCTTCCGTGATTCCATTTGCTTCTTAACTCTGGGATAAATGAAACTCCTGGAGTGGTCATTTGGTATTTTTTTCCTTGATCTCTGGGTGACAGGAGAGTTCGATTTGCTAATTTCCTAAGCTGTTATCAAGGGATAGTTTCCTGGATGGCTGGAAGAATGCTGGATGGGGTTCGTTTATGACTGTCCATAATAGCGCGGTGATGACAGTGCTTCGAGTTAAGAGGCCATAGGGACCTCAGTAACATCTGCCGTATTTTGGGAGCTGGGCGCTCTGTGTGAGCAGTGGAGTGGGAAGGAACGGTTTTGCTGCTCTTATGAATTTCCCCTACGGCTTCAGTCATTTATTTAACAAACTAGAAGAACATCTGGCCCATGTCTGGCATGGCAAGGAGTCCTGAGGATGCAGGAGGTCTTTGGAGTAAGTGCTGGAATCCAGCTGGGAATACTAGGGGAAGCCCACTGTATGATAGTTGATGGCTTCTTATCTCTAATTTAAAATCCAGAAGCTTTCAAAATTGGAACATTTGTTTGGTAATTTGTTTGGCAGCAAGACACGGCCTTACCTGCCCTGAACTCATTTGGCAGCAGAAACGGACCAGAACTGACACGAGGCTATCTATAACCTTTATTTTTGCCCTTGAGTGGTGAGTGGTTGTGTGTTTCCTTGCAGAAATATTCATGTGTTTGATGATTGGGGAATGCCCCAGACCGCACTGGGGATGTCACATACCACATAGCTTACGTCCCAGAAGGCCTTTCTAAAATCTGAAACATTCCGAATTCTGAATCTCAGTTGGTCCCTAGCATTTCAGGAAAAGAAGTGAGGACCAAGTAGTCGCTTGAGGGAAGGAGAACTCGTTTGATAGGGAAGAGGAAAGAAAAACTAGAGACACCTGTTTATTTCAGAGTCACAGTAATTCATAGTAATTAGGACTCGTGACTAACTAATATTCTTCAATATGGAGATGTCCCTTTATCATATCTTTGCAACTCTTCTGGGAAGTGAGGAGAAAACATTCGGCAGATATAAACACTGAAACCCAGAGGATTAAGTAATGTGCTCAAGATTGAACTAGAACTAGACCCCAGGTCTCTCACTTGTCCAAGCCCCCGCCAGATGCACACACGTTCTGTTCTTTTTCCCCCAGAGGAGCACCACAAATCCGGGCATATACAGGTTGCTGCCAAATCTCCTGTGAGATTCAACCTCCGCACCTCTGGGGACTCAGACCATGAAGGATGCTACCTCTCCCTGGGCCACAACCAGCCCTTGGAAGACTGTGGCTTCAACATGACAGCCAAAACCTTTTTCATCATTCATGGATGGACGGTGAGCCCCAGGGGAGGGAGCTCTGCAGCTCGACACAAGATTTGGTTTCCTTTGTTTTGGTCAATTAAAAAGAAGACTGGTGTTTCCCAATTCTGCTCTCTCTCTCTCTCCCTCTTTTCTTGTGGGCTGCTTGTGTTGCAGACAGCTGTGAAGAATGTAATGGGCACTTCGCTGAGGGGGCAATATGGACTCCAGCAGGGTGGTATTTAATGCTGGGCTTTCAGAAAGTGGCTCTCCTGAAGGCAGCAGCCCAGCTCCACTGGCTCTTAAGGGGCCTTCTAATTACACTTAATTACATTGGTCAACCACTGCCTCCCGGGGGCCGTGCCTCCTAAGAGCTGAGCTGAAATGCAGCAACTTGACTGGCTCTGAGAGTCTATGCAGAGCCAGCTGGCCTGGATTGCTGGCCGCCGTTGGCATGGTGCCCTCCTGTTTGCATAGAGATGGCTCTGGTTAAAGGCATTGGTGCTCTTTATGTGCCCTAGCTGAGCAATTCACATTGAAAGGCCCATGACAAACTTCAACAAAAAAGGGCTTTAATGCTCGGCTTTAGAAGCTTTTGACCAGCGAGGGGTTTATTCATTCGTATAATGATGGTCTGTAGGAAAATGACACTATTAAGTGAGCAGGTTTCTGCCTGGGCTAATTGGGAGGGGACATTCCTCCTTTTAATGATGAGAAATTCATATCCGTTAAATGCTTTCTGGGTCTTTAGGTCTATCACCAACTGCTGGGGTCAGGCCTGGGGGTGGGGGGTGGGGGGTAAGTGCCTATCTACCTAATGTGCCTGCAGAGATGGTTAGGGGCTTGACTATCCATCCTCATCCCACAGCCTACAATTAGAATCATGCAACTGAACCTTTTTAAGGCCCTTGTCAAAATGCAAATACAAACTGCCTGCAACTTACAAATGGGTTGCATTCCAGAAAGTTCTTTTGTAATCTGTTTGGAACTTGGAACAGCAGTTTCCCATAGAAGCAAGATTGTAAATGGCGTTTGGGTTCCCAGGCCAGGCACAGAAAATCTATTTATCTAATAATGTACATGTGGATAGGTTTAGAACTGGACCTAGGCACTATTTATAACTTTGTTTCTGTGGGAAAATGTGTTCTGAGTTCTAATTTGGGATTCCAAGGAGAGATCTTCCCTACTCTGGAATCGAGAGGGATGGCAGAGATAAGCTGTGGGAAGGGGTCATCTGTTAACTCTGCGTTTGCCTAGGAGACAGCATCTCCTTGCATCTCTGATAGAGAAGCTAATTCTCCAAGGCAACCCTTCCCAGCTGCCTTTTGGCACCACGTGCTTATCTGTGATAGGGACTCTGGCTAACCCCAGGCCAGAACGGCCACCACCACTTATGTCATAGTGGCCCTACTGGACAGTGGGTGGCAGCCTAAGACACCAGCGATGGAAATTTTGATGGGAAAAAGCAAGACATAAAGAGCAATGGGAGACCCAACACTCACGTAGCAATCCTGGCTGTGGCCGGCCCTGCTCACGTGCAAAGGTTTGGAGCCTGAGGAGCCATTGTGAAAGTTCTGGAACTGGCTGGGGAGAGGGTCATGGAACTGAATTCCATATTCATTCGGATTTCTGAAACCCATAAGAATTTTTTTAAATGCCCTGTTTTCTTTGCAGATGAGTGGCATGTTTGAAAGTTGGCTATACAAGCTGGTGTCAGCCCTGCAGATAAGAGAGAAAGAAGCCAATGTTGTCGTGGTTGACTGGCTTCCCCTGGCCCACCAGCTTTACACGGACGCGGTCAATAACACCAGGGTGGTGGGACACAGTGTTGCAAGGATGCTCGACTGGCTGCAGGTAACCGCTCTTAAGAACAAGATCTTGAACCCGAAACTGCTTAAGAGAATACAGCTCAGACTGGGTGACAGTGAACTCCAGGAGTCTAAGAATGTCTTTGGGATTCAAATTTTTACTGAATTAAGTATTGCTTGAAATGCTTGAAAGCTGGAACTTTGGAAAGCGTTTTAGTTATTGATGTATCTCTGGATCTTGCCTGTTGCTTTATTTGCCGGAGGAAAATTCGCCTGATGGGTCATTCCTCGCTGATGCCCTCAGGTTGGGAATAGTCAGGAGCCAGGACCAGCATGAAATCTTGAAAACTTACTGAAGTCCGCTCTTTTCCTCTGAAGGGTGGCTGTCCTCAGGGGAAGGAGAAGTTTGGTTCCAACAAATGCAGTCTAATTGGATGCTTAAAATATTAAGTGTGGAAAGCAGATCTCGAGGTCTTACATTTACTCTCTATAGGTTAATGATTTGCCTGAGATCAGTGGACTTACCCGGAGGCAGGGGTGTACTGGCAAAGTGACCCCATGATCTGGGCGATTCCAGTCTGATCTTCCTTTTGCCCATGGAATCGGATGACTCCTGGCAGCAGTCTGGTCAGGGTTCTCAAGCCGTACCCCAGTTCTCTGCCTGGGTTGTTTTGTAGAGCTGGGTTTCTGAGCTGTGGGGTCCAGGCCCCACCTCCTCACCCTGCCAGCGAAGTGCCCTCTCTCTGGGTGGCTTTGCGGTGAGCAGACCAGCAGCTCCTGGGGCCTAAGAAGTGGGGAGAGAGTAAGCTCCTGCAGCCTGTGGCTGGCGCTTAGTGTCCAGTGAGTCGGGTGCCTCCCATAGTGCCCGAGGGAATGGAAATGTAGCCCAAGGGTCAGGTATGTAGCTTCCAGGCATAACCTCCACCCTGCCCTCAGCACTTGGCATTTAAAGTGCCGTAAAGTCCTTTTGCCCTCCCCTTCCCTGGCTGCATCCCATCCCTGTCTCATTGACAGCAAGGCGGGCGACGCCCTGGCCAGTCTCTGTCCCCGGTTCCCCTGGCTCTTCCTTGTGGCCATAGGATTGTTGAATTGCTGGTGACCCTGTGGGCTCAGGACCACACACTTCACTCACAGTCACTTTTGTGACTTCCCGCAGGAGAAGGATGATTTTTCTCTCGGGAATGTCCACTTGATCGGCTACAGCTTGGGAGCTCACGTGGCTGGGTATGCTGGCAACTTCGTGAAAGGCACGGTGGGCAGAATCACAGGTAGGATCTGCTTCCTGCGCTCTGGGCTCACCCCCAAACTCCCTCAGCCCCCCTGCCACGCTGGCTTTTCTGAACTGGAGCGCTCCCGCAGAGGCAGCACGAGGGAGCCATGGAGGGTTAGCTTTGGAACGAACCCAGAGGGTATCTAATCCAGAGCTTTCCAGTGTTCTCTTCGGCCACAGAGTCCTTCTTACAAGTTGAACTTGTGTGGGACCCTGATACATGAAACAGATAAAAGGGATATTCTGGTCGCAGCTAGATAAATGGTGGGTAGTGCTTACTTTGCTAGGGGGCCTTGCCCTTACGCAGAGAAATCTCAGGGCCCCAGAACATCAGGGAACATAGTTTGAAAACCACCTGTCTAGTCGGACAGGCAAGGAAATGCCCAGGGGCAAACAGCTAATAACTAACGTGCAGAACTGGGGTGGATCCTGACCTGTGAACCTCTGAGGCTCGCTCCATTGTCTGCCAGCGATGCTCAGGGAAATGACAGAGTGGCGGATTCTAGTAGTTTGCTTTAGTTATATTTCATCCATCAACAGCCTTTTCCCAATGTTTTGCGGGCACGTTTATTAGTGGTAATTATCTGTTTAGAATGGATGCTTCAATTTTGTCATTAAAGAGGCCGTTCTGATGTTGGTACCCAGGTCGTCAATGAAAAAATTGTGTTTTCCATCTTGGTGAGCTTCTGATGTGTGTTTGGATTAAATCATTTAATGATTTGAAAAGTGGGAAAGATTTTCTTTCCCATTTTTGTGCTTCCTCTAGGCTGAAATTAATGGCAAATTTGTTGCCCTAAACTTTTATCTTCCTTCCAGAATTCTTTGATTCATCTTCACTCCCAGCTTCCCTCTCTCCTCCAAAATACCAAGGGCCCAACCTAGAAAGAAAGATTTGATCAATTTCTTTCCCGGCAGTGCTTTTATTTTAAAACAGGGAAGAAGGGAGTCCTTAACTAACAAACGATTTAGTAAAGCTTCAGGTTTTAGCACCAAGCTGGTGGGGTAGATTTATTTGTGAAATTTTATTGGCTCACCTCCAGTCATCCCTGGGCTTCAGTCTAATGTACACACACACACACACACACACACACACACGTGCACACACTCCTTTAGGTCCAGTTATTTGATTTAGCATAGCCTGAGAGCCTCGTTTTTGTTTACCAAGCCTGTGGGGCCTGAGCGTCCAGGTGGACCATGATTGTGTGGCCACGTGACTGCTCATTAACCCTTTGCTGGTGCAAAGCTGTTCAGCTGTAAGCCACTCTGGGTTCCATTGTCTGAGCAGCTCCCCCTGGCCCCCAGTGAGAGAGAGGCATGATGTTCAGAGCCAGACCAGCCTTGTTCAAACTGCAGCACATACAAGTATCGCATCCCCATCCCCCCTGCCCCCCATGAGGGTCGTTGGCTGCAAGGACAAGCTGCAGATCCTCCCGTTCCTTCTCTCTGAATCTGAAATGAGATGGGGCTAGGGAAGAGTTTTCCAGTTCTCTCCCCCTGCCTGTTTGGGTGGCAGCTGCTGAGATGCGGGCTCTGGGGCCGAATGCTAATCAGTGCTCTGAGCCGTCTGCATGTCCGGAGCACGCCCCTGTTCTCCAGCCTTTCTCTGTGCGCCGGGGCTGGGTGAGCACGGTGGGAAGGAGTACCCTCTGTTCAGTTGCCAAGCGGCCCTTCAGAGGGTATGTGGTGCACCTGATGCGGCTGTTGTGCGTGTCCAATGCAGGAGGAGTGCCTACTCTCCTCCCCTCCCTCGGTAGACTTCACATGGGCCTGGGAACCAGGTGGTCCCAACTAGTAGAAGGACCAGACTGCAGCTTGTGTGGGGTCCTGAGACCCATGATGCCGCTGTATGGGGGCCAACAGGGGGACACCTGAACCCTAGTCTCGCTTGGATTGGAGCTGTGGACGGGGGTTGCCAGAGTTTTACCTTCTTAGGCTTTTGAGAGAATTCTGTGAGATACCAGGGAAGAGTTTGTAGATTTCTAATCGACCCTGTGTCTAGTTAGTTACAAATAAGCAAGCAGATTCATTCGTTCCTTCAAGAACTATGAATTCAGGGCGCCTGGGTGGCTCAGTTGGTTAAGCGACTGCTTTCGGCTCAGGTCATGATCCTGGAGTCCCTGGATCGAGTCCCGCATCGGGCTCCCTGCTCGGCAGGGA